AGGGGAAGCAAAAAACCCCTTTCCAAAAAAAAAAAAAAAAACCCCCCCCCCCCCCCAAAAAAAAAAACAAACAACCAACAAAAACAAAACAGAAACCTCAATTTTTTGGTAGATACTCTTTTTTTGCACATCAGGCTTGGCAAGTGAGAAGCAGTACCAGGGGAAGCGGCCCACCGGTCTGAGGGAGAGCTGCTGAGGTTGGGCGGCCATGGGGAAAAATCCTGTGGAGCATCAGGAAAGGTCTTCAAAAAAAGGGAAAAAACACCACTTAAAAAAAAAAAACAAACAACAAATCCTCTCTCTGTAAAGATAACGTATTGGGAGTGTGTCTTAGGGGCTGTGTGGGCATCATCCTGTCTCAGCGCTGCAGAAAAAGGCTGCTGGCAAAGTCCCAGCAGGTGTTGTGCACGACATGCAGAAAAGGCTCTTAAAGGAGAGAAGGCAGGAATTGTGCTGTTGTCCAATACAAACCCACTCAAAAATACAGCAATGCACAAGAGCTAAGTACTTAGACAAGTGTTAGCATGAACGAGAAAATTTTATAGGCCTGCCTGAGCATGTGAATAGAAGCTGATTTAGTTAAGATTTGGTTTTCAACTTTTCATCATTTTTTTCTGTTAAAAGTACATTATTTAGATCCCTTAAGCTGAAGTTTTAATTCACCTAAAGCAAACTACTCTTCAAATAATGAGGATCTATTTAGAATCTATTTAGCGGTTTGCACCAACTAAGCTAAAACGAAGTGGTGCCATTTTTCCTTAAGGAAGGTTTGTGAAATCAGTGGTAAAACTCACCCGAAAGGTTTGCAGCCCTTAAGGACTTGGCAGACTAATACATCTAATCCCAAAATGTCCTTCAGAGGATGCAGGAGTGAGAGGTGAGCTGTTACCTGTAGGTCCTAACTTCCTTCGACTGCAGGCTTGAGATGAGAGGTGGTAATGTTTATTGTTAAATCAACCCACTATTAATAATCTAATAAATCAGTTAAATGACCTAGCTAATAATGGCATCACTATTACTAATGTGCAATTCTGTAATTCCTCACATTGTAGCAAGATCTGAGTTTATCACTCTTAAGTCTTATTCATTACACACAACTACCACTGAATTACAGCTCTATCACCCGTCTCTCTACCACGTCACACCGCTTGTTATTGGGGTGCAATATGATCTGTCTGTGGACGGATTTTTTGGGGGGAATTCCCCCCCCCCCCCCAAATCACCCAGATTCCCCTTCAGTTATCTAGTTCATACTGTCTGCATATCGCTTACCTTGCATGCTTTCTAAGACATACCATTCCATTTTAGTCCTCATTCCTCTACCCAGCTCCAATTAAGTCTAGGTACTTTATCCCATATGCAAACAACTGACATACCAGAGCAAGGCTTATCCTGTTAAATGTTTTTTTTTTATTGTTTTTGTGCTTACATAACATCATGCTCTTACATGCTTAATTACAAATCACTGCCCTTGACATGTTCTTTGGACAATCCTCCTGGTCTCCTGCAGTGGTCTTGTCTCTTCATGAGGCCCTGTACTCCAGCAGGACCTCTAGCTCACAAGTTGTAGCCCATTTCTGTAGCATTAAGCGCTCTGAAAATTGAAAACGTCTATTCTGCTACTTAGAGCATGTTCAGACATGGTCACCCAGGAAAGCTCAAGCAAACCAAGTATCAGAATACCCAGAAATTCTTAATAAACAGCAGAATAGTGTTGTATGAGGTGCTATATAAACATCATAAGAAGAAATGCAAAGCTATTTGCTTCAAATTACAGGCCAATGAGCAACAGAGACTGACACTTAATGAGAGGGTAAAAGACTTTGAAAATAAGGAAAAGTTACTTGTAATTAAATCAAAGAGGTAGTTGTCACTGGAACAAGACACAAAAGAGGAATGACAGCTCATCTTCAGTTATTGCAAACTAAATCTGCTTCAGTCCTGAAGTATAGGACTTGGCATAGATATTAAAAAACTTAATTTGTATATGCTGATTTTGCACATGACTTAATAGTTCTTAGTATGATGCTGCAGATGATAGTCCTGGAATGTATGGTCCACCAGCTCCAGTTGCATATAGAAAGTTGAAAATAGTGTCATGAGGGCCTGTTGAAATTTTGAGTCATCAGAGAGTGCACAAGAGCACAAGCTGCATAAATCATGGAGTGGAAAAATATTTTTGTACTATGATTTAGAAATAATTACGGAGAATGATGTTGGAAGTAATGCCAAATTTCCTGCTCATTACCTCTAAGTAAGTTTCCAGAATAACATACTAAAGATGATGACATGTTATAAATGCCAAATTCTGAAGATAAGAAAGCTCTGAAATATCCAATAGGCAGTGTTTTCCAATATTCCTCCAGGAACAGAGTCCTCCTGACTTAAATGAACTTGAGTAAAGTCTCTGTACTGTTGTATTGAACAACAGTATAAAACTCCAGCAGTTTTCAGCAGCGGTGAAGAATGGCCTGTCATTGCTGGGTAGAAAAAACAGGGTATGCATGAGTCTGTGGAAACCTCAAGAACGCGAATTGGGATAGAATTTCTTTTGTAATACTTAGGGAACACTTTAGCCATTGGTAAGGTAGAGCCATTCTTCTGGGTTGGAATTTCACATTTTGTCAATGAGTTTGTCCTAGATATATGGGTAAAGTACCAACAGAATATTCAGTCACTTTCATTTAAGGTAACTGATGTTAATTTATATGGTATAGTAATTACAAACTGATCCATACTGGTCCAGAGGTTCATCCGTGCACTACAGTTTATGTGGTTAAGTCTCTGTATGTAATTGATACCTCTTATTCCTCGCTCTGTGTTTTCTCAAGAACAAGAGGCAGCTTGTGGGAACTGCCCTTCCCTGATGCCCAAGTCTCCAATACCAATTAGAAATCAGTTAGTTTGTTAGAGAAAAAATTGACAACATAATTAGAAAAACAGTAAAACATTGTTTCCTCAGGCTAATGCCCGTTGGCCAGTATAACCTTCTGTCATCCGTTTTGTCAGTATTGGTTAGAGTGTGGAAGCCTCTTGATGATTTATGCATTTGCCTGTTGTGTTCTCAGTTCTTTAAAAGAGCTTTGGCCACTGTCAGAGGTAGGATGCTGGGCTAGCGGGATCTTTGATCTTGTCCAGTACAGACACTCATGCTTTTATGGTGTTATGTTTTTTACAAACTAAGAGGAGTTCTTTTGTTTGCTTCCTTGCTTACCTTTGGGTAAGTGTTTCTGCTCCTGTGCTTCTCTTTATGCAAACTGAGTTCAAAGGCGAAATGCAAAATATGTCTGCGACATGCTGCTATACAAGTTTTTTTGATGTCTCTTGTTTTCAGTGATCTGTCAGAAAGTAAGGTTTTGTCTCAGTCTTACTGCCACTTTTTTATACCACGTACACTTTCAGACTTGTTTCTCCCAGATTCTCATTTATGTAGTAGGGCCCTGTCTCCTTGAGTTGTTTCCCCAGTCTAGCTGATCCACATTTTTTCTGGTTTATCATTAAGACCTAGTGCTCAGATATCGACAAATGAAGATGTTCAGTGTTGACACTGTTTTATGATGTTTGATACTCTATTTAAGGTGATCATGTTTGCTGTGATGCAGGCCGTGATCTCAGTTATGTGTAGTGAGTACTGATTCATATGCCAGGGAAGGTGCTGGAAAACGTCTGTTTCCTGGATCTGCGGTCTAGGTGATGCTGAATGTTCTTATTCGTTAGCGTCAACAAATGGTGCTCCAGTTATTGTTGGTAGCACTGTAGAAATCCTAGCTGAGGCTGTCAAAGTGCTTTACTGAAGCCTGTTCAAGGTTCCTGAGCCATGTAGGCACACCGTGAATATTGTTGAAGAGGAAGAGCTTATGCCAATCTGCTTGTGTTGCTGGAAAGGCAGGGCAGAGGGGACTCTTGGAAGGAGACTATTATTGCACCTCTCCATGGGAATCTTTAGTAAGAAGCAAAAGATTTGTTTGAAATTAGGGTACAGATGGTGAGGAAAAGAAGCTTTGGAGAGTGGGCCTGCTACTAGTTCTGCAGCACCGTCCCTCCTTCCTTCAGTGGCAGTAGCATTGAAGCAGCCCGCTCAGCTTTCCGCGGCTCTGAGTGATGAAGGTAGGCAGTGAAGCCAGGCTGTTTTGCCATTCCCCTCAGGCTACTGCCAGAAGCAATCTAATCTGCCTTTTGCTTTCAGATAACTGTGATAATACACATATTAATTAAATAGACACTTGTATTATTAACATAGTACGTAATTTTAATTAGTAGTTATTTTCCAGATATATTTTATTATTGAAATGAGTATGAGTTAACAAGAACAAGCAAGTCAGAATTATTCTTTTTCAATTTCCTATTTATTAAAATACAAAACTGGTGGCAAGTGACTTTGCTGCCTGAGAAGCAGATCGGAGAGTAGAGAGTTCTTCGTTGCCCTATTCAGCAGGTAGGGAATTTCTCCTAAATCCTTCACAACTGAAGTGAGTGAGGTTGGAAGGGCAGTGAGATGGATGGAGCTCATGTGTTTGGACCAGGCATCTGCAACACGTACCAGGTGCAATACCTTTGATGGAAGTTTCTTCATGTCTTCTATGCCAGACTCATACTGTAGTCGTGGCAGGATTCCTGAAGGATGTCTATACTGCTCTTCAAGAATGAGATTGTAGACAGGGCATGTTTCTAAATTGCTGCTCATATAAGTAACTGCTTCCCAGAGGTCCCAACACCAAGTGTCAGGGGTTGTCTTATGCCCTCACTGTAATTACTAGCTGAGAACTGGTAGTAGAGCAGGCTGGCTGCATCTGTACCGTATGCCTGGATGTCTCTTGCGGCGCCAGAGTGGCTGAAATAATGCAAAGGCATGAAATAGCTCTCCCGAGTGTTTTTATAGCATGGAACTGAGACTATATATGTCCTGGAACGTGGTTTATGAGATGTTTGAGGGGCAAAATTTGCTGCAATAATGCTGAAGGATGGTAGAGAATGGAGGGAGTCAGTCGCACAGCGGACGCAGCAAACGTGGTGCAGTTTCAACCAACTGACTTTTGTGATTATTCCCTGGAGTAAATTGTTCCCAACACTGCCTGTAGTTTGTCTGAGAGAGAACAATTTGGAACTGCCAAGAGTAGGGGAGTGATGAAACTATTAAGCAATACTTGGTTTTGTCTCATGGCCCTGTAACATTTAGCAGTCTGGATATACCCAAATAATCAGTTGTACTCAGAGGGTCTCTTCCAGGTGTACCCAGGGGCTCCCTTGCAGGTTTGCTGTCTACATGAACTGCAGATCTGGTCTTTTGGGCAACCCTGGATTTGCTCTCAGAAGAAAGTGTTTTATAAGACTTCAAAAGGAAGTTGATATTGGTTTCATTTAAGTCGGTGACAGTTCTGTCGTTAGCAGTAGGAATCAAATTTTATCCTTAGTGAATTGTTTTCCTCTTTTTACAATAGTAGGATTCTGTTCCCAACAAACTGCTGTACCAGGAATATTTTCTGCAGCTGAAGTGACAGCCTAAAGTGAAGTCATGCTGAAGATACTGGTATGTGATAAAAGCTACCACTTGGTGGCATCCACTCCATGCTTTATTTAGCTGAAAACTCCACAGCCAGCAAGCTGAGAAAACTTTCCGAGTTCCTGGCTCGACATTCTTTAAGGGTATTTAAAATAGTTAACCTTACACTAGTCCTGGTTGGTATACTCAGGGCTTGACATGTGCATGACCTACCTTCTGCTTGTGTTTTAGTGTGGGAGTATACACATTTACTGACCTTGCAGTTGACTCAAATAATCAAAGTGATTAAACTCTGTCTTTGTCCTGTTCTTTGAAAGGCTGTACAACTGTTTTTTATTCACGGAAAACCTGTTTAAACTCTTGGACCCTTGGTCTTGACCTTGCTGTGTACCTCAGTTTAAAACGAGCCTTGATTTTAGATAAGTCAATTAAAAGCAAAAAATAGCATAGATCTGGTTAGGAGGAGAGTGTACTTGAAATGAGTTCTTGAATTTTTCATCTGCACTTTTCAAAGGAAAAATATTCAGGCTCATTCTGGAAAGTGTGTAACATAAATTAAGGTTTATTAGGAGATGTAAACAGCTACGGATTCGCTCTACCTAACTTTTGACATTTGAATGAGAACTCAGAAATATATTTCACCAACAAAAATCTTAATTTGGAGGTCCCTATCTGTCTCTAAAATGATATATGGCACAACAATCTCATTCAGTTTGACTCTCATAAGTACCTAACTTCAGATTTACAGGTGCAAGCCCATCCTCCTTGTATTTGTTGTCAAAGTACTGTGAAAAGAAGCAAGACAATATTTTTAAAAATGGCTGGTAGTGCTGCTTAGTGCAGTTATCCTTAAGTAGGCAGCTTTTCTGATAGTATTGGTCTGATGTAAGGAGAATCAAGAACTTTTGGGTTGGTCTGCAAGTCACTTTGGGGAACATAATGTAGTAATGAGCATGGTGTGAGATCTAAATAAATGCCATTTGGCAGTTTGTGGAATGGTATTAGAACAATATTTCTACTTTTGAATGTTTCACCCATAAAATCCACTTGTGATGGTAGTGAAATTAAAAAAAAAACTAAGAAAACTGTATACTCATAATCTAATTGCATTATATGATGATAATTGAATGGTAGATGACATTTGAATCTTATTCGTTGCTTTGACACCTAGATTCTTGTACTCCTGCTTGGAGCTGAGATTAGAAGGTTTGAGGGTTGTCTTTTTTTTTTTTTTAATTTAAAGGAAATTTCAGCAGCCATTCCTAGGTCATTGGAGAGTTGGTGGATACTATACACTTCCCAGCACTTTTTAGACTTCTTTTTCCTACTAATAAAACCAAAATAAAATTGAACAAAAATGTCTGAAAACTTGATAAGCAAATAGTCATTATGAATAAATGAGATTGCTACTACTTTTGGAGGCAATAAAAAAATTTAACTATTAAAACATTACACATAATTGAAACTTGCTGACTTATTTTGTGATTTTTTCAGCATAACCTGATGAATCTCCCATTCCTCTCTGTGGCCTGTGTCAGTGTGGTGAGGGTTGTGCTTTAAAAAATGCAGTCATGATCCTCTTTTGCTAATGATCCTCTTTTTTGCACTTTTATTAAACAGGGTAAAGAAATAATCTGAGTTAATTTCTTCTTGGAAGTTAACGCTGATAATCCCAGGAGCAATACATGACACCATTCCACGTTTCCACCAGAATAATCAGTCATGTTATCAAATGACTGTGAATTCAGAGAACAGTTCATAATTCTCAGTACCTCGTTGTTCATCACATCTCTCTAGTCCTTTGACATTTGCTCGGCATTGTTGTTATATACATTTAAAAAATTACAACTAGGAACAGGCCTGCATTGAAGAAAACCCAAGTATATGCATCAGTCTGCTTCTAGAGGGCAGCAAATGACTGTGTTTTAACCACGAGAGAAAATACAACATTCGCATACGGTTCTGCCAGCAAACCAAAGGCACAATCCAGCATCTTGTAGTTAATGGCAAACTTCCCATTTTCTTTGATGGGAACAGAATCAGGCCCCTGTTGCTTTCCTTGCTATCTTAGGTGGATAAGTAGTGTGCATAAAATACATTGGACTCCTGTTATCAGTCGTCATTGTTTTAAACAGAGGATGCAAACACTATAGTTTTTATTAACATTCTGAGACTACAATTCATCTGATATAAAAAAGTACATGACATAATTGTAATAGTGTTTATCTAAATATTCATTGGGTTTTTTAATGTGTTTTGTTTTGTGATATTTAAAGAAATGTGAATAATTTTTTTCTCTGCACACACATGGTAGAGAATAGTGGGGGATGCCCCCTCTTTTGGAAAAAAACCTACTGATAAATTCACAAGTGTTGCTTAATGCAATCAAAAGAAAGAAAGATGGTAAGTAAAAGTTTTATTTTAAATGTAATTCACTTTTATTTATGCATAGGTTTTTCTATAGCACTCCGTACCATAGCACTGGTATATTCACATGTAAACTTATACCAGCAGTGTAATATAACTGGTGATAAATTGCCTAAACATCTCATAACCGTTATATTTTTCTTGGTCCGTGGTCTGTATCTATAGAAGTTATTCTAATTTTGTAGCCCCTGTGGTACCTTCAGCTAGACTTCCTCTTCTTTTTCTCTCAGAAAAAATACACAATTTCTTCTCAAAATTACATTAGTTGAATTTGTACAGGGCTAGAGGAATGGGAACTGATCAGGTAGCAGCTTCTTTAGAGAGTGTGTCTTAACTCTTTATCTCTTTGGCCCTTTGCTTAGGAAGAACTTAAGTTTTGTGCTCCACATACCTAGGGAACAATCTGGCTGCAGATATAAGCTGATGAAATTGTAGAAGTTCTCTAATGTATGATTTATTCCTCATGGCTGCCTATGAATGCAGAAAACTGAAAACAGCCACAGCTTGGTGCATTCTGATAATGCAGAATCTGCGTTGTTGGCTGGGAACATGGCTTGTATATCCTCTGGCCTGGAGGGTATTTGTACCAAGTATCAGAGTACCAGAAATAACAGTCGGTGTAACAGAATCAGGCGCTGAGTGTCATAATTTCAATGCTATGCAGGTCAAGAAATGGATTGTTCAAATACAGGCTGAGGAACTCTCTTTTAGCTGAGAAGCATCCCAGAGCATTAGATCAGATGCCTCTGGTTGAGGGAGAGCCCCTGTGGATGATGTTCACAGCACCCTTGCCAGTGGTGGCCTTTCCTGAAGGAGTCCATTCCTTTGGTGGTGCTCTGAGTCCAGAGCTGCTGGGAGGAGGACGCGAGCTGTACACGATGGCTCTTCTGGAGTCTAATGAAGCCTACAGCTATTTGCTTTGTCTCAGAGATAGCCCTCACCTCTTTCACCAGTGAACAATTCCAGTGGCAACCCTGGTGCAAATCAGATCTCATTTCAATCGCATTTTTTAAAATTGTATTGGAACTAGCTTTTCCAGGTCTGCATTAGTGTTACTCTGTTTTCAGTGCTGGTCCTGGTTATCTCTGAAACCATTTACAGTTCTGATTCAATTTTCTAATACAGACAAGTCTAAAGGGCGACTCTCACCATAGTTTCAATTTTTCTTTTCAATAGTTATGAATAAAACATAACGTAAGGGGGAAAAAAAAAGCTTTTGTTGTCTACTTCTGAAGTGTACAAAGGGAACATCGAATATTCTGTGTGACTTAGTGCCTGAAAAAATCACAGCAAGGCTTCTAGAAGAGTCAAGAGGTGAAACACTTTAGCTAGATATGATATCTTTGAGATGTCTCAAACAGGGAAATACTGTTGAATTTTGCACCCATAAAAAGAGAATTTTTGTTCTTCTCCAAGGTTTATGTTTAGTTTTTGGCAGTCTAGAAATGATGATGTTTGCAGTGGCATAGTTGTTTCTCGGAATAATTATTCATTACTCATTTCAGAAATATTTGCACAGACACTGGCCCACAGCATGCTGTAGTTTAGGCTACTAAGTGTATTACTTCTTGGCTGCTGACGTCTTCAGCATATGGTGCTTTATTTTGTTGGCCACAGGAATGTTCTATAGTCTTGCAGTAGCATTGAGTGTGTGTGGTTCTACTCTGAAATGTGATGATTTTAAAATGATAGTAACTAATTCAACAAATAAGTTCCTTGTGCTACTCAAATCATAACTGACTACTAACAAAAATAAA